ATACATGGCCACTGTTGGACTTTTTACTCCTGAACAAAGATGAAATGATGCTTGTGGAGCCTGTTCTCTTCTTGAAATAATAAAACTGTAGTCAGTTGTGATTGAACTTGAACAAAAGACGACTCTGAACAACGTTTTGAAATACAGACTCTGTTTCTCTTCTAGGTGATGGCAGTGATGACTTTGCTCCATTTCCTGCCAACGTCTTAGATGATGTTTGTAGTTCCAATGAAGACCCCACGCTCTCGTCAACCCTGGCAGAGGACCCGCTGTCTGATGATGAGTTGTCACCTCATTCAATCCAGCAATCAAGCGTCTTTTTCACCCAAAATGATCTGACCATCCCTCTGGACTTTGAATTGAGAGAGTCGTCAGTTCCAGCTGCTGGTTTGGGCATCTGGAGTCGCAGGAAGGTGGATTGTGGGGAACGCTTTGGACCGTATGAAGGAGAACACAGTCCTTGCCTCCATGATCCCACTCAAGGCTGGGAGGTAAGAATGTATAAATTCCTTTGGCGTTATGGAGCTTTATTTTAGGTTTATATAAATCAGTTTTGAAAGTTGTAAATGTCTGTTTGGCAGATGTGGTTGCTCTTTTGTCACCCAAGAGTTTTTAGGCATATTCCTAAATGTAAATCGATTGTTTTGCAGAGTTCCAGATGCATCCTCGTGTGTGTTATTTAATGCCAGAACATGACAGTTGCAATCACACAGTTTGTTGGTAGATTGTATGACAAATATGTTAAAGAAATGTGTTCTTATAACAAAAGTGTATTGAGCTTTAATGATAGTATAAACATAAAAAAAAAAATTGCCTTTTTTGTTTTTTTTTGTTACCGCAGTAGTTGTAACAAATTTGTAACAAGGGGTTTTCCTTGGCCAGCATACACTGTAGCTTTCACTTGATTTTTCTTTTTATTTCCTCCCATGTAGTCATGGTCACATTTAGCCCAGTGGCCACAAGGCTGTTGTAGCCTATTGTTGCCTGGTGATGTAATGTTAGCCCAGAGCTTCTAAGACATACTCAGTTGACGTTGTGCTCTTAGCTCAATTAAAATAAAAAGCCATAAATCTTTTATTCGTCCCCAGCTATAGGGACCCAGTGAGACTATTGGCGAATGGCACATTGGTCAGCAGACACACAAAACAAATCGAAGGACGGGGTCACAGGACAAGGGCAAAGGTTAGCTGTGGGTTCTGTCAGTGTCAAGCTTGCTTGGTTTTATGGAGCAGGATGAAGTGGGCTGGCAGAGTATCAGCCTCATTTAGTTTCTCTGAATAGATTCTCCCTAATTTAAACGTGAGGGTTTAGTCCTTCACATTCAGCTCTTTGTCCTTTTGTTGGACAGAGCCAAGCTTATTAAAAATGGCTGACTGTGCAGTTTATAAAGTGAGAAGTCACAGGTTCAAATAAAAAGATGCCTAAATATATCAACATGATGTTTATTTCTTGATTTCTAAATTCAAAGAGTTGTTTTGTCTCAACTAAATCAAAAATAATGGTCCTTAATTGCATCATCTGTGCTACACTTCTCTGTTATCAGCTGTTAAATGAGACAAAATACATGACTGCCAAATAACATCGAGAAGTTTTTCATGAAATTTACTTAGCGTTGAAATTTAATTAAAACAGAAATGTCCATATTTACAAAAAAAAAAAAAAAGAGTTACAACTGGTTGAAAATAATATTTGGGTTATTATTACTGTTATTTATTTATTTCTAAGGAACGGGAAACATATTGGAATGAAGGGTTTCATGAATTTTAGTCCAGTTATAATTTATGTGGATTGTGAATAATATGCATTTAGAGGTCTAGGGTGCTCGGACATACGTGTGTGTGTGTGTGTGTGTGTGTGTGTGTGTGTGTGTGTGTGTGTGTATGTGTGAGAGAGAGAGTGAGAGAGAGAGCGAGAGAGAGAGGGAGAGAGAGAAAGAGAGAGAGAGGTGGGTTTAGGGGTAAAGATGGGATCTGACAAGGCAGCACTGTATCACATTGTTTAATTACCATTCTGACAGCGAGCTATAACTCTTTCCATTAAGTAAATAAGTTGTAAAGAATTTATGATGAAATGTCACATTATTCAGAATGGATATTCAGTGATGACATCTCCCTGCATTAAATATGGTAAATGCCATTAAGTCCCACTGAGATTCCCCCCGTTCCCTCTTTATCCCATTCACCATCCCTCCTCCCAGTCTCCCGCCAGCAAAGCGTCAATATGCCAATAACTCTGTAGAGGGTCTGTAAAAAATAAACTTGATTTGGTTAATGTGAGTGAAGACAGATATGCTCACTTTCATCATCAATTCTGCGCAGCACAGCAAGGTGATGTCACCAACCTGGGAACGATAAAGTGGCACACCCACCTAGTTTTTGATGTAGGGGCCTTGAATGGACGCAAGCACATAGTGACAGACTGGTGGGGTGGGTGGGGCAGGGAGTTTGTCACTGTGGAGGCCACCACTCCTCGGCACCATCACCATAAATTTGGTAGCTTTATTCATAAAGGGGGAAAGATTGAGTTATGGCATCCAAGATGCTTTATGAATACAGGAATGGTGACTTATGGGATGGATAGCTTCTGTAAATAAGAAGTGTAGAGGCAGCTGTGAGGTTCTGTCAGGCTCTCCTATACCCTCGTATGCTGAACTGAGGTGCCGTGAGTGTCACAGATTGTGTCTGTGCTGTTTGTGTGAGTTTGTGTTTTTGAGCATGCCATTGTCATAAATACAACATAAGCTACTGGTTTTTACATAGTTCTTTTTTGTACCTTTTGAGATTTTAACTTAACATGCTATGAATAAAATAAAAACTAATGATTTTACAGATTATTGTTTCAGTGGACAATTTCATCAACTTAGATAAACCAATAAGAAGATAGTTTGCATACTGGAAGGGATCCAAAATTTAGAAAAAAATTTTATACATTAATTTTCTGTGCCCGCTTCTTCTTTTTAGTTTGCCGACAGCTAACTCCAGAGATTCAATTAACCTAGAAACAAGCAAACCATATTTAAAAACACATTTTAGAGTCAAACATTTATATATTATGACTACTGATATGTTTGACCAAAGGTGGTGATATCTCACAGAACAAATTCGATAATCTACTTTTATTCAGTTTTTGTAAATCAGCCAAATCAAATTATGGCATTTAAACCATTCGTTGATATAATAGGGATACATTGACCTGCACTTGCTGAACAATTGGCATGCTTTTTTGTGTTGAGTGCATTAGTCCATATTCTGCTGTTGCTCTATTTCTGACTTTTTGAGGCACATAGAAATTCAAAGTCCATTTGCATTTCCTTCTTCTCAGTAGCAGCAACAATGGGTCCGAGAGGCTGAATCCAGGAGAGAGTTATCCTGCACTCAATGAGCATTTGGGCTGACACAAACTCACGGCCCCTCGGGATGGGCTTAAAGACCTAGGTGCCTCCTTCTGTAAGTAGGCAATGGGTGGAGCAGGTTAGAGATGTGAGAAGGGGTGGAGCGTTGGGACAGGGCCTGCTTAGAGGGTCTTTGTGCACCTCTTCAGTGAGAAACGGAGGTGGAGGCGATAGTGTTGGTGCTGGTGTGGAGGTGGAGAAGGAGATTAGCAGCGATGGTGAATGGGAGTAGAGGATTAAATGGCTGGGCAGGGCCTTCTCCTGCTCTGGCTGTCTTCTCGACCTCCTGGTCATGAAACGATGGGTGGATGGAAGGAGGAGGAGAGGCAGATGCTTGAGCGAAGGCAGACCCATCGTTGCCATTACCGCCAACTGAAGTTTGGAAGGTTTACAAAGCACTTTCACATTTACAGTTTTCAGGTAGTCTGCAGTATTTTACTGCTGTTGCTATAAACACAGTCAGCATGAACCTTAGGAACTGTGACTCTCTGGAACCAAAGCTTTGCACGTTGAGCAAAACAAAATGTGGGAGTGTATAAGAAAGGCGTTTCAAGTGGGCGTGTTTTCGTGCACGGATAAGCCGCTGTCCTGAATGAATGCAGATGTCTCTGGCTGGCTGTCTGCCTGTCCCCTGAACGCTGATGGCCCGTCACCTCTCTCTGTCACATGAAGAAAAAGCCACTCTTAGTCGCGACTCAACCCCCCTCTAATCCTTCAGCCCCTGCCACCTCTCCACATTTACTGTCAGCAGATAGCCCTGCTCAAAATAGTGCTTAGAAAGACAGGCACTGGGGATGAACCTCTCTGTCACTCACGCGTTTTCTCAATGGGCACACATCTTCACATTTTCACATGCACTTTTTCAGAAATTCAAAGTGGAAAAGTCTTGATTTTGCTAAGTCTTTGTGAATGTCCTGTTTTCAATGTGCGGTGCTTACAGGAAGATTGTGAGAACTCGTGAGAACAGCCCAAGCTGGCTACTGAGAAACTGCTGGCAGTAATGAACGAGCAGTTCATAATGAACTTCATTTCCATTGGTGCTCAGTGAATCATAACAAAGACAATGAACTTTGATTGTTTTGAGAGTTGCCATGCGCAAAAGCAAAACTGGAGGTAACATTAAATGCTGTTATTATATGGATCTGCAGGAAATTTTGCATAATAATTTACAGTACACGTGTGAAGGCAGCATGGTGGCGCAACTGGTAGAGCTGTCTCCTCTCAGCAAGCAGGTCCCTGGTTCAAACCCCAGTCCGGGGGTCTTTCTGGGTGGAGTTTGCATGTTCTCTCCGTGCATGCATGGGTTTTCTCCGGGTACTCCCACAGACCACAAACATGCATGTTAGGATGATTGGTAACTCTAAATTGTCTCTAGGTGTGAGTGAGAGAGTGAATGGTTGTTTGTCTTGTTTGTCTCTATGTGTCCCTGTGATGGACTGGAGACCTGTTCAGGGTGTACCCCGCCCCTCGCGCAGTGATTGCTGGACATGGGCACCGGCGACCCCCACATAGGTGTTGCAACCATTATATGTGAAGGGGACAAGTCCCCTCACATTAAAAAAACGTTCATTTGGACACCCCCCCCCCCCCTTTTACTATGAAACATTAGTTCAGGCGGCGCAATTTCTTTCTTCATGGGGGGGGGTTGATCATAAACATACATGGTTAGGAAGGAGGATGCTTGAGAGGAGCTACGTCTGTAGCATCTTATCTTAGCAGTAACTGTGACGCTGTGAGACACTGCAGGTGTAAGAGACGCTGTTTGTTCAGGTGCATTAAAGTTAAAATGTCTTTAAAACCCCACACCTTATTGTCCTCAAGGTTCATGAGAAACATAATTTAGATAAGTAGTGTTGAACACAAGTAAAAATGTCTAGTGGTGATGTTTTTTTATTTCACAATAAACACAAATAGTGCCGACCTGACGTTCTGTATTAAAGTGTATTAAAGTTAAAATGTCTTTAAACCCACAGCTGAATTTACACAAACTTAGTGAGAAACATGTTTAAAATGTGTGGAATTAAAGGAAATCTAGGTGAAATGTTGCTGTTTTGTACACTAGTGAACACCTTTTTTTTATGCGCACACATGCACGTGCACACATGCACACACACACCTACACACATCATTGTTCCCCCCCCCCCC